AGATTCGGGAAGGCTTGGACTCTGACTGGATGAGTCCGGGGAGGGAGACAGGGGTGAGTCTTGAGAATATTATCTGGGAAGAGTTTGACCCCGTGGCTCCCAAGGACGTGGACAGGATTCTGGGTAGGCTTAATGCTGCCACATGTTTATTGGACCCATGTCCCTCCTGGTTGGTACTGGCCTCCCGGGAGGTTACATGAGGCTGGCTCCAGAGGATTATAAATCCCTCCTTGAGTGAGGGTGCCTTTCCCGCCACCTTGAAAGAGGCGGTGGTGAGGCCTCTCCTCAAGAAGCCATCCCTGGACCTGTATTAGTAAATTATCGTCCGGTCTCCAACCTTCGTTTTGTGGCGAAGGTTGTCGAGAGTGTGGTGCACGACAGCTATCCCAGTACCTGGAGGAAGCTGTCTATCTGGACCCATACCAATCGGACTTCAGGCAGGGGTACAGCACAGAAACGGCATTGGTCGCATTGGTTGATGATCTCTGGAGGGCTCGGGACAGGGGTTGCTCCTCTGTCCTGGTCCTATTAGATCTCTCAGCGGCTTTTGATACCATCGACCATGGTATCATGCTGCAGCGGTTGAGGGGATTAGGAATTGGAGGCACCGTGTTATTATTATTATTATTTCTTTTTCTTCCTTTCCAATCAAGAAAGCATGAGCTACTGTCCTTTGCTTCAGGTCTGACTTAGGCTGACATATTACAGTACTTCTAAGGAGACTTATTTCCTCAGGTAGCTCACATATATTGTAAGCTATCATCTAAGATTAGTAATAACTGTAAATAAATTCAAGAGCCATTTCAAAACAGTCCACACACTGTAGAGGACAGAAAATGCTTAACTTGAAAGAAAATATTATAGGTATACTGTACCTATATTCCAACATTCACCTAAAGGTCAGAATTTCATAAATATTCTACAGCCTTTTCTAAGAACCATCAAAATTCCTCTTCCAAAAATGATAATCTTTGCATAATTTCACTAGGTGAAAATACAACATTTGCTCTAAGAATTTTATAGCAAAATTATTTTATATTCTTAGGATTGCAGTGACTGATTAATACATCAGTTGATTAATGTAGTTTGACTCTAAATGCAAGTGAATAGAAAAGGAATGGTTCCCCTCTTTTGGTGCATAGAAATTGTACTTTCCCATTCTGCCTGCCTGAGGACCAAAATGGTACGGACTTAATATTTCAGTTTGCTTTGTAACCTACACCTAAAGGATAACTATGGGCACAGAATTTTAAATTCCATGTATTGCAAATATGGACTTGTGAGATGATCCACCCACCTTATATCTTGTCACCCGATATAATCAGAAAGGTATATGCATGCATAATGTCTGTAATGTCAACCAAAAAACCCATTTAGCCCAAGGTGTAAGTTCTGACTGACAGCTTCCTGAACCAGATATGTCAGGAACTAAATCTGAATGCCAAATCTGGCTTCTACCATCACAATTGTAGATTTGCTTCCATTCTGTGAAAGTTTTACCAGGGAATATAGAAAAATGAATTTTTGTGATTTACTTAGAACAGTTTGTTTTGGTAAACATACTCTATAGATGAGATAGAGAAAGGATAGTGTGTGTGGCTTCTGCAAAGCACGGAGTGCCTTATAATGCTGCAAATAGAAAGCAGGAGGACAGAGTCTTCTCTTTGTCTTCCAGTCTGAACTGTTTTATCTTTACTCAATACAGTCCAGAAGCAAAATGCCTTCTTTTACTGAAGGTGAGGTTCAATACCAAGCAGCAGTCTGCACAGTAACCCTTAGGGTTGGTTATTAGGATTGCAGTAGACAAATATCCTTTGTAAGATGGGTTTAAAAATATATAAAAAGCACAGCTGATCCTCTTTTCAGAAAATGGGTATTTATTACTTTTCCACTGGCAGCTTGGTAGGAGTCATTTTTTATTCCCATAATGTTATCAAGCCCTGGTGTATGCAGCAGTGCTGATAAGGATTGAGAAATGTCACCCTTGAGACCATCGGGGATTATTGTTATTCATAACTGTATAGTGAGACAGCTGATCACCTGGAACGGGAAATAATTCTATTGTTCTGCTTGGGCAGTTGCTATTCTTCCTGTACCAGGATATTAGGATTGAAAGTGGAGGAAAGGATGCAACTGGCATTGTGTTTCAGACTGAAATTGAACTGTTCAATGATTTTCAGCAGTGCTGCTCAAAGAAGGTTTCTTTATGAAAATCCCTTTGAGTAGGCAACCAAAGAGAACAAAGATTATAGAGATAAACTAGATTGAATGAGCAGAGATTCAGAGGCTATCACAAAACATAAAGACTCAAACTGGATGGTGGGAGGATGGGGAAGGACTGTTTAAGACATAATCCTTTCATGGGCCAGAAGTAGCAATTATATCTGTCTAGGAAGGGTTTCATGAAGTATAATCCTGATGCTGATTTTTTTCCTGCATTCTCAGCAGAGAAGTAAAGTGATTATCATACTTCCAAACAGGTCTCAGAAAGTGCCACATTTTTGACATTATATGAAAAAAGTGCATTTTTTTGTCCATTGCAAATCCAAACCTATTCCAAGTACAGCAGAAAAATTAGAGAATGAACACTAGAAAAAAATAGAATATTCGCAAAGGACTAGAAATTGAACCATAAATTGCAAATTCCCTTCATTCCAGAAATATGAAATACTACAAGCCTAGTTTAATGAACAAAAAAGACGTTTGATTATAGTAAAACAATTATTCTAAAATGAAATTAACAAATACTATGTGAAATTAAAATAAACAGAAATTTAGGCTACAAGAACCAAGAAATAACTTCCTTTTTTAAACATTTGGTTTCCTTGAACTGAGGCTTCATGTAAAGTAAATTTCTTCTGGTGAAGCTTTCACCTTCCATATTGATTTTCTCAATTTCTCATACATTATGTCATGGCTTTTTTTTTCTAGATATATAAATTCCATTGTGAGCTAGGTGACATCATTGTAAGATAGTTCAAACAATGCCTAATTCTTTTCCCCAGCAGCCATTGATCAGATGTGATCAATAACCCAACCAATGATTAGTTCCAGTGGGAGAGATATTTTTCCCCATCTGTTTGTAATTTCAGCAGCCCAGCTCCTTTCCAGGCCTGTAAACACAGGCTATTTGTGCTTAAAGCGTGAGAAGACTTGTGTGGGAAGTGCTGACTCATCTCCATGGAGGTTTCACTGAAGGAAGAATGACAATGGCTATGTAAAGGGAGGGAACAAATGCCCACTTATGTTGTAAAACATAGTCCAACCAGAGGTCCCAAGCTACATCCATTCTCCATACAGTTGCAAACTATCATTATCTGCCATTTGATACTTTAGTAGTTTTAAAGAAAAGTCTTAGAAATATAAAAATTAAATATTCTTGATGTCCAAAGGTTTACAGACCAGATAATCTATTTTAAATACCTTGTTAAATAAAATAATTTCTTCTAGAGGTTGTTTTATAACAAATTGGTAGGAAGTTAAGTAAATAATCCATTCCCTTTTCATTGTATTCCTGGTGAATAATACACTTCTGAATACACAGTACCTGCTTCACATATCCTGAAGTTTACAAGCCTGTTTGATTCTAGTTAGTTGTCGTCACTTGGAATTCTCCAATTCCCATTCTGTTGTTCTGTTCAGTTCACAAGATAACACTCTAGAATTTATTGACTGGAAGAGAAGTAATGCAAACAACTTTTTGCATCTCTATTGGAAAGAGTGGATGTCAACACTAGCTGTAAACGGAAATGCCATGAAAGCACCAAAGTTAGATAACATATCTTATCTGAGCATTATTCTTTTTCATTTGCCAAACTAAAGAAGAAGGGAAGGAAAAGCACACAATGCTACATTTTGCTGAATTTGGATAGAACGAGTAAACCACATATTGAACTCAAACCATGCTTTAGTTGGTGGGTAGCTATTTCAGTCACAGATTGTCTGGATAATAACATGGTGTGCATATCCTGAATAACAAAAGGCTCTTCAAAATTATTGTGAAATCTTTTTTCAAGTTAGAAAAACTCAGCAATTGCATCGCTCAATCTTCCTAAACTTGGCTCCTGGCTAATATGGTGGATTATAATTTTTAGAATCTCTAACCTATTGATTAAGAATTATGGGAATATATAACTGAAGATTTCAGGATGGGAAGCTCTGTTTTAGAGGATGCCAACCAGTATATAAAACAAATACAGAATTATTTTGTTACCAGTTTGACATACCTAATGTGAACATTTCTTATTAGCAGAATCACTCAAGAAAATTATTGCAAAATGGAATGAGGCTGAGATTTTGTTATTTTATTTATATTGGGTTGTTAGGCAAATACCATGATGGTGGATAATTAGTTAGATTTTCATGCTTGGTTCTTGGTTTTCCATTGAGAATTTCCTTGACTAACTTCTGAAATGTTCACTGATGTCATAAACATAAAGAATTATTTTGCTTCAGAATTTCAAGCATTATTAATCCATTAGAATAAAGAAGTATAAATCAAGCAGCATTAGACCTAATTACCACCAGAATTTTGTCACATAAAAAGTCTGACCTATTAGTTTTTTTAGATCAATCAAGGTTGGCTAGACAGTAGGTTTAGTATAGTGGTTAATGCACCAGGCTAAAAACAGAAAGACTATGAGTTCTAGTCTGCCTTCAGCAGAGTGACTTTGAGCCAATTATTCTCACTCAGGCCTAGAAGGAGGCAACGGCAAACCACTTCTGAAAATCTGCAGGGGCTTGTCCATGCAGCTGCCAGGAGTCAGTACTGATGCAAAGTTGTACTTGTACACATCCACAAACCCAAAAATTGGCTAAGATATTCTTTAGGTTAATTTAAATTATTCTTACTGAAACTTTCTGTGTCTACTAGAGTTGAGTGGCCAATAAATGTAAACAAATAAATACATAAATAATGTTTCCTGGAAATACTATTTGGAATGGTAGTTCCTTATCACAATGTACTTTTACTATTTCTAATTATGTTTTTTTTAATGTAGCCTTTCTAATTAGACTGAGACTAGAGAGTGGATGACTAGAGAGATGGCACACAGCTACATTTGCCAGCAGGAAATAAGGTCCTTGCCAGGCTGTCTGTTGAATCTTTATCTTGAAATTATTTGGATGAAAAGCCCTCTGGAACCTGGAAAAGGTGATGATGACCTCACTTAGCTCTTTAAATCATGCCATATTATTGGTTTTCATTGCCTAATGAGATTTAGTTCCATTTTAAAATATACATTTGTGTTCAAAAGATAGTTTTATAGGATTACTGGTCAACACTTGGCCTATTCTGTTTTACAGATTTCCAGCTTCCATTTGATGCTGCTCAACATCTACATGACACCGATTGGAGAAGCCATCAAAGATTTTGGAGTGGATTCCACTTGAGTATTGAAGATATCTACTTATATTGCTTCTTGTTATCTCCAAGGAAGTATTTGTACCACTGACTAACTTTATTAGTAACTGGTTGACATTAAATCCAAACTGACTGGAAATGCCATGGAAAAGTAGAAAACTGGATTAGAAATGTGGAGGGTGTTTCATTTCCTCCTGAGGGAGTGGGTCCATATTCTGGGAATGCACCTTGATTATCAATTGTCACCGAATCTGCAGGTTGAGGCTGTCATGAGGAGTACTTTTGCATAATTAAGATTAGTATTCCAGCCAGCTTTGGTTCCCTATTGGAATGTGTTATATATAGATTACTTTGAAATTACTGAAAAAAGATAACTAGTCAACTAATGTAACTGGCCATGCTCTAGGAATCCCATGATACCTACAATACAGAAGAACTGCATTGCCTATCAAATGTTTATTGGACAAATTTAAGATGTTGCTATTGCCCTGCTATCAGGGCTTTGAACCTGAAGGTCTGCCTCTCTGATTATAAACTTATTTGGCTACTGAAATATGCAGAAAATGCTCTTTTAAGAATACTGTGTCAGGTTCCAAGTAATGCACCCATTACAAATCAAACTCCTTTCTTTCTTTGTTTTAATTTATATGCCGTCCTTCTCCAGAGACTCAGGGCGGCTTACAATGCATTGCATTCCCTCAAAGAACAAATTTATTTAGATACAACATCTTGGCACTACTAATAGTTTCTCAATTTTCCAAAACAAACTGTCACATTGTCCAACCAAGATAAGAGCTAGTTGCTTGGTGACTTCTCTCCTCCTCCTCCAGTTAGCCAGCTATTGGAATGTACTTGACTCATCAGCTAACTATGTTGTTTTGGCTGAAGGCTCTATCCTCCTCGGTTCTCCCCACTTCAGCTTCGAACTGTGCCAAACTGAATTCATGTCAGAGTACCCAAGGATACAAACAATCCCACACCCCAATCAAATTCAGACTTGATATACTGACTTTGGTCCTGATATACGGGAACATAATTACAAAATTTACATAATTTTGACTGGGCTAGCAATGCAAATGAAGATGCATTTGGCTGTCCTTGCTAGCATTTAAAAAATCTGTAAAAATATTTTTAACTATCAGTTGATTTTCTTCTTAGTAGTGTAGTAGAATCTTTTGTATATTGCTTTGTGAAATTTTTTGAGCATTTGAGCAAAAAGCAATGTACAAGTAGAATTTATTAATAAATTATGCAATAAAGTCTGGAAAAAACCACCAGAAAAAGGCAAGTTTATTGTAAATAGTCTAATTATTAAATAGACATAGAGGATTTCTCCCAGTTCTTATTTGCATATTTTTCAAGTTCTGTACTAGCATATCAACAACTGTACTGAACTATATAATTCTATTTTATGCAGATCAAACTGTTTAAAGAAAGCTCAGTCTGCCTATTCATAGATGAATATATTCTGCTTCCATAAATATGCATACATATGAGCGCATACTCATGAGTATGATTCAATTATTAGCTTCTTACAATAATTTTATTATCATGAAATTAGATCATATAATATCAATATCATCCATCTAATAATTTGAAATTACTTAGGCTCAGAATATGTGAAGGACCCTGTTACTTGGCTGTACTATTAGTTGATTAATAATCATGGTTGCTATTTGTATTTGTTAATTTTATGGAAATTTTAATTTTTCTAATGTTTTTAAATTGTTCTAATTGTTTTATAATTTTAGAATTTTAAGCCACCCAGATTTACTTGGTTGAGATGGGTGGATTTAGAGGTTGAATAAATAAATAAATTGGCCATTCTAATTTTCATAGACAATACAGTCCTGAAATTCTAAATGCTGAATATTATTTGCCTGATTCAGATGAACTCCGGGGACAGGATTCTGGTATGGATAAAGAGGATTCAATAAATACATGCACGATACAGGCTATTTGCAATGTGATTCTCATGTGTCCTAGAACATAAAAAACTGACACAAAATGTACATGTACACAAAATGTATGAATGTTCTAATGAGAATGTTATCACATTACTATTGTCTGCTGTGATAGAATAAAAGGAAATATGGCACTAAAGGGAACATGTGTTGTACATTGAGGAGTTTAATAAATGCTTACCTTTTTTTCCTTCCTAGTATATCCCCATTGTTACGCAATCCACTTTTTTCAGATCAACTATTAATTCATTGGTTGTGACAGGGATTGACTGGCCAGCTTGTCTCCAGGATGTCATGGGCTGAGAGAGAGTGTGACTCACTTAAAGTCACCCAGCCAACTTTCATACCTAAGGCAGGACTAGAACTAACAATCTCCTGGTTTTGTTATTACTGTTATTAGTTATATTTTTATGCTCATATTTGTTTCAGATTACACCATTTTTCAATCTGATCTAATAAAAGAATTCAAAGGTAGTGATTATAACCCTTATAAAACATTAATATAAATAACTGGAAATTACCTATTTCATCATCCATGACCCATAATTTCAAATCTACAGTTATCTAAGGTAGTTTTAAAAGCATGTAGTATATATTTTTCCTCCTGCCACTGGTCTCAGAGAAGCTGCAGCTGCAAGCAAACTGATTACTTTTTGGTTGAAGCTACAAGGTCCCAACACAACACTGGTTCTTTTCTAGTCTGTTAACTCTGGTTCCAGTTACTCTATGGATTCTCTGTACAGAAGATGTCTTGGGAATTCTTCTCCAAATAAACCAATTAATATTCCCCTCTTACATTCATAATAAGAGAAATCTATGCCCCAAGACTGCAATCTCATATGTTTTCATTATATTATCTTCATTTTCCAAATACCATTTTTGTTGCATTTTGATATTTGCATATGGATAATGCTGTTAATAGCTATTTGCTCACCTGTCAGCTATTAATACTACATACTACTTCTCTGCCCAGGTGTTTTTTTGCTGGCTGTCACTAGTTTAATATGTATTGTGATATTAGCAATCAATACACACATTTGTAATTTATATTCCAGTCTGATATAGTCAGGCTTTTATTTGAATTCAAGAGAAGACGGTGACACAAATCAATTAGAAATTAAAGTCTGAGGTTCAAAGGCAATACAGTTAGGTTAAAATATATTTGATGTCATAAGTCAGGTATAAAAGAGAAGCATAATGTGTGCTAATGCTTCATTTTTGTCAGAACCTGATGAAAATAGCAGGGTAGGGTTTTTTATTCCAGTCTACTACCAAAAGAAGAATCTGCAGTCAGTTTGATGTTTCCCTGTTGTAAAAAGATATTGTGCAATCTTTTCTCAAACCAAATCTCAAATCAGTTTGAATTGAAATTTGATGCTTTCATATTCAGATCTCAGATTCAAGTTAGATCTTGGTTGACTGACACATATTTTGAATTCAAGAAAGTTTTGGACAAAGTATATCATGACAGTTTGATCAGAAAGCTAATTAATTATATTACAATAGATATATCTCTTAGTTAGAGCCACAGCTATCTTGAAAGCTAAATCCTAAATGTTTTTAATTTTTCATCAAATTGGACTATAATATAAAGTAGGAGCTACAGCATTTGCTCTTGTTCTGAAATGCTTTTCATTAAAGACTTGGAAAGAGAATAATGCTTGCACTTGCCAAAAACCCAAGTGAAACACTAAGAGAAATAATTTACACGATATAAACAAAATTTAAATTAATGTGCTAGAAAAAATGCTTTATAAGCTAGAAAAAAGGACTGAAAACAATCAAAAGAATTTTAAGAGATGCAACTATAAAGCTCTTTTTTTATGAAGCAATCTACAAATAATGCATGGCTTATAATGCATGATCGTGTATGAGTCTACTAGATATGTGAAAAGGATCTTGCAATTGTAGAAGATCACAAGATGAATATAACTCAGCAAAGTATCATGCTTTTGGAAACACAAATGCAATTTAAGATTGCATTGCAAGAAATATAATTTTGAAATTATGATAGTTAATAGTTTTACTATATTTTACATTGCTGATATACCATTATGGACACTGTCCAAGATTGAAACATTGGAATAAGTTGAGAGATAGAAAGAATGAACTGGATACCTGTAGCCTTAAAGACAGGATTGCAAAAGGGAATTATAGAAGCATTCATTAAAAGACTGAATAGTTCATGGAGAGAAAGGTCAAGGTCTGTTTTTTGTCATCTCAGAGTGCAGGATATGGAATAGTGTTACAGGAAGACATATCTCTTTGACAGTGAAACCCATTATCCAGAGGGGTGGTGAGTTCCCCTTCACTGGATAGGTTGAAGCAGATGCTAAGCAAACTTCTGACTGGGATACTTTGCTTTTGATTCCTACACTGAGCAGGGGATTGTACTCAATGGCCTAAATCACCCTTCCATTGCAAAGTTCAGCTTATCAAAAAGACAGGTCTTTCCTCCAGAAATTACAATGTTTATTTAAAAATATTGGAACTGGCACCACTATTTTGTTATACCATAACTATTATGATGTGTTTGAAAAGTGCTTTTCAGAATTCACTACAGGAGAGCTTACTTTTTTTTCACCTTTGGTCCTCAAAGACTTGTTTACTTGGTAGGAACAAGCTTCATTAACCTTTACTGTTTAAAGCTTTTACTTATGAATCAACAGTTGAGCAGGCTCAGACTAGTTCTGAACAAGTTTTTCTTGCCCTGATTCAAGGTGACAGAGGACAAAAATCTAGCTAACAACCCAAATGAAAATATAAATAAATAGCTACTCAAGTACTGTATGACCACAATATGAAGTCCAACAAATCATTTCACAATAATGACATTTGAAGTATTCCCTTTCTACATATTTGCAAATTCAACAAGTGTAAAGTGGTGTGTTTGGAAGGACATTTGCTGAGATTTTATGAGCCAATGTTTGCATGGTCATTTGCTCTGGGGAAATGAAAAAGTACCACTTTTTCCACTTACCTTCGCTACTGGTTTGGAACCGGGAGCGCACGCGTGCACGCACTTGCTTCGCTTAAATGCGGCACTTCTGCACATGCGCAGATCATCTGTGATGATGTCCGAGTGGGTGGGTGGAGCCTCCCGCCGCTGCCACTATCGGTTTGCCCGAAATCCACCACTGCCACCAGTCATACAAGCACTGAAGAGAATGTCTCTTGAAGTGTGTATGCACTGCTCCTGTCCTTAAGCCTGTCCCATTACCAATAACCTGTACCTTCTCCTAGGCTGATCATCCTTACCTTACATCTTCCCTTAAGGGCTCCTGTGACTGTAGCAGATGGGTTTGGAGGTCGGCTGTCATCAATGAGACACAGGTTTAACTCTTCCTTCAGAAATTCTTGAGAAGGTTGCTTTTACATTTACAACTTTTATGTACCCATTAAAAAGTTCATTCTTAGTTTATATATTCCAAAGTAATAAGGGTGGGGCAAAAAGCTAATAAATGCATACAAACATACACCCATACTGTACCTTGGATAGATTAATGGTGCATTTTGCCTTGGTTTTGTTCTCTGTTGTCTCTATTGTTTAACACAGGATTTCACAGGTGTAACCTGCATTAAATACAGACAAGAGTCCAGGAGAGGTGTAAAGAACCTTTTAGTTACATAAAGTCACCTTTCTCAAAGTTTCATTGTATTGTTTTTATTGTTCATTTGTGTTCATTTTGATGTTTGGCTTTTTAGGGGATGTGATACATTAAGATTACCATAAAAGGAGATATGGTGGCAAAAAGTTTAGGAACCTCTGGTTTAACATAAATATTATTTTATATCTTTTTGAACTTGATTGCAAATACAGCAATGAAAATATAAAAGTAGTTTAAATAAATAATTAATAAAACAAAATTATTTTTGCCATACACTAGATTTTACACAACTTGGAAAACCTAAATATACTATATCTATTATATTTTACTTTTCTCATGAATGGATTTACTTTTTAAAATTTACTTTTTCTTCCTCTTAAATGCTTGAAGATTCCAATTTCAGATATTAAAGCCTGGAACTACAAGCTTTTAATGTTGGGAAAATGCATTTTGAACTATTTCTTTAGCAACTGGAGATGGTTAATAATGTGAGATTTCCTTTACTTTATAGTTTAAGGTGTAATCTTGCCATGCTTGATTTCTTGGTGATGGCGCAGTGGTTAGAGTGCAGTACTGCAGGCTACTTCTGCTGATCACTGGCTGCCAGAAGTTTGGCAGATCAAATCTCACCAGGCTAAAGGTTGACTCAGCCTTCCATCCTTCCGAGGTCAGTAAAAATGAGGACCCAGATTGTTGGGGGCAATATGCTGACTCTGCAAATCACTTTGAGAGGGCTGTAAAGAACTATGAAGTTGTATATAAGTCTAAGTGCTAGTGCTAGTGCTAGTTTCCTATATAAAACAATAAGAAATTAAATTAAAATTCTACCAAGTGATTATTTTGCCAAGCAGGTAGCAGCACTTAGCCCACTTTTGGAAAAGAAAAGTAAGATTGGACACAGTTAGTACTTAGGAGTAGGGTTATAGATAGGGACACTAGCAGAAAGTCCCAAGGCTGTAGGCTACACTGGAAAGTGGGGAAAAAACATCTATTTAAAAGGAAAGACAATGGCAAACCATCTCCATGTTATTGCCAACAAAACTACACAGATGTCACCAGGATCTGAGTCTGACTTGAATGAATCTTTTGTTGTTTTCTCTTTTTATGCGACATATGGAAGGTTGTATAAGTGATAAGTTCAGACCCCGCTGTATATTAAAGGGGTTTAAGTTAAAAATTTGTTAGTAAAATTAGTGGGAGTTGGGAAGTGTTACAAAGAGACATTTCAAAGATGAATGGCCTTTATACTGTAGAGATACTATGGTGGTGGAATGAAAGCACTGTGTGCATGTTGAAAGATATTTCTTCCTCTTTATCATTATTTCACTGTCAGGTCAGTTCGATTGTTTTCTCTTCCTAGAGGCTGATAACCTTGAGTCTCCACTTGTCTGCTCTGAGCCATAGTTGAACTGGAGATGGAAAACTGTGGTGAGGCCTTGATCTCTTCCAGGTTCGATGCCGTTGCCAAAATCAGATTGGTTCATCCATTTTTAGAGGTGTTGTCCTATTCTAGGGCAAGAAAGTGCTCTAGA